ATTTTACTTTAGTCAGGTCCAAGTTGGAATATGCCTCAGTTGTTTGGAATTCCATCACCTCGACTGATGCCAATAAGTGTGAGCGCATCCAGCAGAAGTTTGCGTCCGTCTGTTTTTATCGTTTTCTCCCCTCATATTTCATATAATTATGCTTATGCTTTAGAGAAATTAAGTCTGCAATCTTTACATAAACGGAGACATCACCTTTATGCACTTTTTCTTGTTCAGGTCTTTCGTAGTCTTAAATCCTGCGCTTCTCTTTTGGAAAATGTTAGCCTTCGTGTTCCTCCAAGCAATCTTAGGGACTTCTCATTGTTTGGTATTTGTCCCTCTAATAAACACTGTCCTTCTGCTCGGTGCGCCTGTGCTGTCAACGCGGTGGGTAAAGATCTCGACATATTTGCAATCGGAACAGTTTCTGTCAATCATATTTCGCATGTAAATGAACAAAAAGTTGGAATCAATAAATATATTTATACATTGATCCTTTAAAACTTGAATTGTTTTATATTTTATTGCTGCCATGTCTATTCCAATCAAAACTGATAATTGTATATATTTTAATTTTCTCACTTTTCAATGATAGGTTTGATTTATGTTGATAGAGTTATTATTATAATTATAATTGAGTTATTGTTATTACTAACTTCTGTGTGTGTGTATGTACATGTATTGTCCTTTCTCGCCACAAATGGAATGACTATTGGAAATGTACTTATTTTAGTTTCTCGCCTGTTAAATTTAACTTAAATTTTTCTTGAAACTGTTATTAATTTATTGCTGTTATATAGACTGTCATATTTTGTATTTTGCTCTTTAATTATTTTTGTTTATTTCTGTGTATTCGTGCTAACTTTGTAATTGGCCACTGTGCTGTTAAGTTTGCATTTAAATAAAGACGAATTGAATTATTATTGTTATTATTCTTATTCTTATTTCATTAATTCATTCGTTACAGGAGATGTGTGGTCTCCTCAGCTAGCATCATTCAATGAACATCAGACTTGCAGACTGACGACAGCGTGAGAGAGAGAGAGAGAGAGAGAACACACAAAATGATAACCCTTGCTTACATATACCATTTCGCTCTGCTAATAGCATGTAAGTAAGGCTGTATCTTACGCAAGCGATTAATTGTAATTCATCATCGCCATCATCATAACCATCATCATAATCATCATGACGTAACCTGTCGACCTTATTAAAATGACGCCTAGGGATATTACATTCATCTGACATGGATTTAAAGGAAATTATAACAGATCACAGTTGAAGTAAGAACGTTGGATTGTTCATTAGTTAGTTCCAGCTAGCAGTTATATGTATATTCGCGAATTTTTCTGCGTCTAAGAAATTTGAATATAGATGCTACTGTATTTCCTCCTGTAGTTGCTATTCGGGTTCCATTTTGTTTGAAGGAAAGTGTGTTTTAGATATTCAAACATCCGTATCACGTGAATCATAGTTAGCACATGCTTTGAAAGTAAGGAACTTTCATTTTCAGTTTTGGCACACTAAGTGGAAAATAGGCACTGAACTTGCGTTTGATTCATTGGCTAACTACTATGTCAATATATCTCCTATAAGGTTTATTTGTTGTCAGTTACAAGGGTAACGAGAGACTGGCTGACATTTAAACGAAAAAGTTTCAGAAGGAATTAAGTAATTTAGAAATTACAATTCCAACGCGCTAGTAAAGCACCGATGACAAACCTAGACGTAGCAACTGATGATTCGAAAACTATTCGTAAGTTCACTTGTATGTTCGAAGTGATGCTCACGGAGACAGTTGTTATAACAGACTGTGCGTATTTGTGTACTCCCTGAAATGAAATATTTTAAATGAGCTTCAAAGAAACGTTTTAATTTATATTTTAACTTTTCGCTCATTTCTTATGTTAGACGTTCTCTATAGTAAGTGCAGAAAAAAATTTTAATTTAATGTTCAAGTTATCTAATTATTAAACGTATTAGACATCCTTCATAATAACTGCATAAAACGTTTAACTTTGTTATTTACCGGAGAATCCTAGTGCGTGCGCAACGGTGAACTGAAAATTTGTAGAATGGCGATAGCGTTATAATTGGGTCTAATTAAGCGAATTTGTAACCGAAGTGCCAATAAATCCAATCAAGGACCCGTTATATTCGTCACGCGTACCCCCCATACCCCCCCATACATATTTTAATTTATTTTTCAATTTCATTAGTTACTGCAGTGTATGTTAGGTGTTCCTGGCACAGAGAACTTAAAAACTGACGCATTTTGAGGGACTTTTTATGTGTGTATGTTTTCTGTCTAACCAATTGTCTGAAGAGTAAGGGGGTTTACATGACTACGAAGTCTTTTATCGCTCCAACCTTATCTTTACATTTTAAGAATCTAAAATCCAGTATTATCAGTTTTCTCAAAAGCTGGCTCATTGTACAAAAACGGGGGCAATTTATATAATATTGCTACGTGTTAATGACTAAACACGGAGTTTGGATTGATAGTTGGACCTATTGAAAACTTGTAACTACAAGTGACTATAACGCTACCGCTGATCTACACACTTTACAAATTACTACAGCACAATGCTAAGCCTCAGTTATTTATAGCCATCCATAGACGTTGCTTGGTAATAGCTCTCAACAATGGAGATTTTTCAACTTCTTTGTTCACTTCGTTGCCCGCTGGCTATGACGCCACAACTAATTTCGGTCTGTCGGTTAAATTCCTGCTGGACCTCACCCTGCCCTCGAGCTGCTGTCCTTCAATAGCTCCCTCCTTAGGGCTGCTTATCTCAAGTGACATTGTTCTTTTGTGAGTGCGCGTCCCTTTAGTCTGCTTCCGCCACATGCGGTCTCCGGGCACTGTAGTAATATTGAAAGTTTCTAGAGTTCAATCTCCAAAAATAGAAAACTTATGGAAGTCGGTCAGCATCACGAGTGCAAATGACCTGAAAACAGCACCAGTATGCATCCCCAAACCTCGTGTATATCAGTATGTCCCAGACAATGAATAATGTTCAATATATTATTAGCATATCTTTGTGTCTGCAGCAGATGAAATCGCAACAAACATATTTGAAAAATATTTCTTTGGTGGAATTTAAGGAATTTCATTTAGAAACCGATATATCTTTAGTAAGATTGTTCGTTTCTTGTCAAAATATATTTATCTCTTATTGTAGGTGGCAACACGCTGATTATACCAGAAGAGCTTCCTTCAATCCTGTCGGTCATCTATTCTAACATCCCACCCATCAAGAAAGGTTTGGCAGTACTGTATTAACTTCATTAAAGCATTTGTGTTCAAGGGCTGAATTGGCACTAATAGAAACACTAAGAAAATCTGACACGTTTTGTGTTCAAACACTGCAATGAATATCAATCGCTGCAACCTATCTGCTCCAATTCTTCAATATTTCATCAATTCAGCATCACATCCAACACATAATGGGTGAAAAAAGAATGTAGCTACACTCTGATGCACATATGAATTGTACCTCTACAAGTGATTCTATTTGTAATAATTAGTTTATACCAGCAATAAATATTAGGGACAATGGAACATGCACACTCGGATAAAGAGACATATTTGGGATAAATTATTCCATTGGAGTACTTTCTTCTCACTTCTGTTGAAAATAACCACATTTATACATTGACTGCTCTGGCCCTTAGTTCAGCATTTGTAGCAATGTTGCAGGGACGGATTCTCGCGTGGGAGTCGGTTTCCGGCTAGGTGACCATGCAGACTTCCAGGTGCTTCTGGAACTGGGTCCACAGTTAAATACTCAGCCTCTCGGTCCTGATGGAGATACCAAGAAAAGGAGGCAAGTCCAGCGACCTGCCCCCATCACTCTTCCAGTAACAGGCTCAGAAACAATTGCTAATACACCAGGAGGAAAATGGTTGTCTTCATGGCGCTCAGCGCTAGTTAACTTCCAGTCCACGGTAGGGCTTCAAGGAGCTTCCAAGTCATTGTCTACTGCAGAGTAGATAGATAAGATAGATAGTTAAATAGATGGATGGATAGACAGATTCTCATTGGGCAGGGTGTACCCATGAAACTAGTTAGGCTTGTTAAAATGAAAACTACCATACGGTCCATATAGGTAAATATTTTTCTAATAAATTTCCTTTCAAAACAGGTCTTAAACAAGGAGATGCTTCATCACCATTGTTTTTCAACTTTGCTTTAGATTATGCCATTAGTAAGGTCCAAAAAGATCATGTATAATTCAAATTTAATAGGCCACAACAGCTTCCAGTCTATGCTGATGGTGTAAATCTATTGAGAGATAACATAAATGCCATGAAGCAAAATAAAGAAGCTCTAACCGATGCTAGCAATGAGGATGGTCTAAAAATAAACTTAGACAAACCTAAGTACATGTCGATGCCTTGTCACCAGAATGCAGAACAAAATCATAACATAGATATGGCCAATATTGTATTAAAAAATGTGGCAAAGTTAAATACTTTGGAACAGGACTAACACATAAAAATCTGATTCATGAGAAAATTAAGAGCAGATTATTATTCCATTAATACTTGCTACCCTTCATTTCACACTTTCTGTCATCACAGTTTCTGCTGCTGTATTAAAATATAAAAAAGTATAATTCTAAATATAATTTTGTATGGGTGTGAAGCTTGGTCTCTGATATTAAGGAAGGAACACACAGTGAAGGTATCTGAGAACAGGTTGCTGAGGAGCATATTTAGACCCCAAGAGTGATGAAATAATACAAGGTTAGAGAAAATTGCATAATGAGGAGACTCATAACTTGTACTTTTTGCCAAATATAATTAGAATGATTATGTGAAGGCAGATGAGAAGGGCAGGGCTTGTAGCATGCAAGGGGAAACTGGGAATGCATACAGAGTTTTGGTGGGAAAACCAGAAAGAAAAGCCAGCTAGGACGACATAGACGTAGATGGGAGGGTAATATAAAAAATGGATCTTAAGAGGATTGAGATGGGATGTTACAGCATGTATTCAAGTGGCTCAGAATAGAGACTAGCAGTGGGCTCCTGTGAACATGATAATAAACCTTCAGGTTCCATAAAATACTGGAAAATTCTTGAGTAGCCGAGTGACTGTCAGCTTCATAGAATTACCTAGTTAGTACACATCAACATCACATTTCTGTATGTGAAGCATGCCATGAGACATTTAATGTTACCATGTTGTGTTGAATTAGAAGTAGATAAACTATTTATCATTGTTGAAGACAATTTTAAGCAAATTGAAAACAATGTGGACTTTAATTGCTTCTCATGTAATCCTGAGTTCAGTTAGAGTCAACATTTTTGGCAAAGATTATTATTCTAAGTAACCTTGGATCACACATTCTTGGGACTCACAGATGTCACAATTACCAGTTCCTTCTTTTCATGCAATGATTTACATTATTTAGCTCAGCACATTGAAAAGATCTCATACTTGTAGTTTGTGTGATTTGAAGTACTAATTATGGCAACTATGAAGAGAACTGTTATCTTGGATGTAACACTGTGTAGTCAGCTATTTTGGTCAAAACTTAGGAGACATGTAACACAGAAGCAATTAAAGGCTGTGCATTCATGGTCCAAAAAAGTAAGCCCATTAAAACTTCATATGAAAACTGTGTGTTATTTTCCAGACTGCCAACAAATATTCTGCAGTTGGACAAGAGAAAGCTATTATGAACCCCATGGAAGGCAAGGAGCATGTTATATCTCAGCTGCAACAGCTCTACAAAAATGGCAGCAAAGCAATTGAAGAGTCAAATACTGAAACAGCAACAAAAGACAGTGAGCCAGTGGGAAAAAGTAGTATGACTTCAGCGGAAACTTGAACCTCACTGGCACTGCCACTCTCACTCCACAGAAAGCCAGTCAACAGAATAAGAGATAGGCTATAAATTTTGTATAGTGATCTATGCAATGATTAGATGGGAGTAACTGAAAATGATTCAACAAGACAGGCTAATATTCCAAACAGGTTTGTGACAATGTCTCTTTCTTCATACCACAATAATATTGAATATTATTCATTATCTTAGACATGTCCGATATGAATCATATTTTAGTAGCTGGCTCCATACCATCTTTAGGTGATTACTCGACCTTTTACTGGCAGATATATTTACTATTTTTATCACTGATTGTAAAGGCAAGCATTAGGGTCAAATTAAGAGCCTCTGATTATCAAAGTTGCATGTTAATCCCTAGTTCTATTCACTGATACTTTAGTGGTTATCTTCCAAGTTTAATTTTAAGAAGGTTCCTACTTTAACATCAACCATTAACACTCACTCACTCACTCACCCACTCATGGAGCTGAGCCCTTCTTGAGAAGCCACCAGTTGTGCAGCTACTCAAGAACTTCCCAACATTTTATGTAACCCAATGGTTCAGTATCGCTTTCACAAGAGCCCTCCACTGGTCCATATCCTCAGTTACATCATTCCAATCCATACCATCCCATTCCATCTCTCTATGATCCATTTTAATATTGTTCATCCACCTACATATTGGTCTTCCTAGTGGTCTCTTTCCTTTTGGTTTTCCCACTAATATCTCATATGCATTCTTCTTCTCCCCCATTCATGCTTGATGCCCTACCCTCCTTCAGTTGATCATTCTAATTACACTTGGAAAAGTGTGCAAGTTATGAAGTTCATGATGTATTTTCTCCAACCTCCCATCACTTCATCTCTCTTCGGTACAAATATTCTCAACACCCTGTTCGCAAATACCCTCAGTCTATGTTCTTCCCTTTATGTCAGAGAGCAAGTTCAATCTCCTCTTAATTTCTTCCTGAATAAGGTTTTGATTTGTTATAGTTGTTCCCAAATATCAACCGCCTCTGTGGTCTAGTGGTCAGAGTTCCTGCCTACAGATCCAGATGTCTGGGTTCAATCCCCAGTGCTACCAGACATTCTCAGTAGTGGGTTTGGAACAGGGTCCACTCAGCCTCGTGAGGATAATTGAGAAGCTATTTGAAGGCAATAGCGGTTCCAGTCTAGAAAACCGAAATTAACGGCCGTGGAGATTCACTGTGCTCCCCACGTAACACCCTCTATCTGCTAAAGCTGGCACTAACTTTGCCGGCAAGTGGTGGTCGGTACAGTTCGCTTGAGGACTCAAGCCACGGAGTTTTTGTTTTGTTCCCAAATCTCTGAGCTGTGCCACATTTTCAAAACATCTGTTAGCTATCTTTATGACATGATTTTGCACTGCATTCTTGTGGTGAGACAGCAACATACACTTAGTTTTCTGTGTGTTTACTTCTAGACTATACTCCTTACTAGCATCAATTAAAGCCTGCGTATTTTTTCCTTATGTTATCTATATTATCACCTAGTATATTCACATCATCAGCATACACCAACAGCTGATGTGTCCCATTTAATTTCAGCCCAATCTGGTTTTCCTGGACCTTTCTAATGGCATATTCTAAAGCAAAGTTGAAAAGCAGTGGCGATAAAGCATCTGCTTATTTTAGACCATTCAGGATAGGAAAATTATCAGACAAATATTTACCTATATGGACTTTACTATATGTTTCATTTAAACACATTTTAATCACCCTAACTAGTTTCATGGATACCCCAAACTTGAGAATATTATATAATACGTCCCTCCTAACTGAATCAGAGGCTTTCTTCAACCATTAACACTAATCCCGAAAATAAAGAAGAGTAAAATTACAAGTTAATCAATGGAAAATAAAGGTTGAGTTTCTAAGCACACTTTGCCCATGCTGAAGTTTGTTCTAAGACCACTTCCTTTGAGGCCTTATTGTGCAACTTTGTAGGAAGCAATGCTACTTATTTTCATAACTTCATAATACATTTGTGCTTCAATCTTGATCTCCATGAGCATGTGTTTATGTTACCAAATGTAATGTTCATTCGTTCCACAAGACTACATTGTAAGTTAGAGAACAAATTACATAGGAATACAAAAGGATAAATTAAATATTGTTCTATGTCTTTTCCATGTTATTACTCAGAAAACATTTTATTAAAAATGCACTTAGTTATGATTATTTACATCTGAATTATTACAATGTAGAAAGCAATATTTTTTAATTTTTATGAAAATGACAGCAATTATTATTTCATGTTACTAAAATTTGTGTGACAATGAACAAATGTTGTAAATGATGAAGATGAATTCCAAGCTTAAAATAAATTTATCTTCTTGGGAAAACAGTGATAATTTCAGAATTCTGGTACACTTTTAACATGCTATTAATTATAATTCAGCAGAATGTTATCCTCATTTTTGCCCTTTCTGTCTTGGTTCCAAGTTTGACTCTTGGAAATATGAAAGGCAGTGACTTTCCTTTTTCTGGTGATCTTGGCCCTGTAGTGATCTCAATGTGGTTGCCAGGTTAAGCAGTGGGACAATTTGGAATGAAAGGGTTAAAGTTATTTTATTCATACTGAGATTTCAGCTTCTATAAGTTACCCAGCACAGCTCTATATTCACAGTACTACATTTGAACCATACACCTTCTTATGTTTACATACTTTTACATAGTACCATTTCATTAGTGACTACATTACAAAGTTCTGTATCACTACTCTACACCGACTGCTGAAGTTGTACCAAAGGACGAACCAGGACACATCATCACCAGTTTGTGAAGTATATTGTTCGGTCATCATTAAAAATTTACTACATTATATTTTCAACATGCTTCCAGTAACCATATGCCAGTAGGGAATTCTATGTTCTGAGTTAACACTTTTCTCACTAGATGGCAGTGGGCATGTGTGTCTGATGTACATACAATGTGTGTATGTATAGTATTGCAAAATTTTATTAACGTACTGGATAACTTTTATTGGGAATAATTTTACCGTTATTTTGATTGAAAATAATATTTTTTATGTTTTCCTTCATTTTGTACTACTGATCCATCCTTACTCCTTCAGAAATTCTGCTTCATGAAGGTACACCAAATTCTAAAAGCTTATGAATCTTTTTTCCCAAGAATTTAAATAAAGCATGCTTCTTTTTTTACCAACAACTCCAGGTGACATGTAATTTCTTAATCTCCACGTAGGAAAACCATTCTTCGTCTCTTCTTTTTCATCATCATCATGATTGGCAAACCAACCTTTCTTTAGCTATAGTCTTCCTTAGAAGATTCTGCCAGATTTATCTGACATGGATCAAACCATCCAGTTTTCACTTCTTTGAATTTTGCAGTTTTTTTACAGAGCAGGGTCATCTTTCTTGCATCCAACCCTCAATATGGAGGACCTGGAAAGTCACCATTACTGTCACCAATTCATTATTTGCAAAAGCCCTTCTTAATTGTTCTGAGTTATACACACATACATGCATGCATACTTTTTACTTTCAGTAAGATACTTGGCATTTATGTCACCACAGATGATAAAATTTGAGTTTAGGTTTATAAATCACATTATGCTTTCTACCTTGTTTAGGAAGAGTTCGAAAACATCTGTGGTTGCTCTGCATGCAGACAAGACATGAATGTTAGAGAATTTTGATACAAGCAGCATAGCATTTTATGTCCTGTTCATTACAGTGATGTTTTATGCCTCTCTTGTGATTATATTATGGATTATTTTTGACAAAATTGCTCATTTCTTCTTTTACCAGCTTCTGTCTTCAGTAACTATCTGCTATAGTATAACTATTTGGATCAGCCTGTAAAGTCTTTAGTGCTTTTCTTATTGATGTGGATGAAGCAGTAATGCCAGTATTTCTTCCACTGCAAACAAGAAATTGAAACTATATGAAACTCTGCAGTATCATTAATACTCAAAATACTTACCCAAGTAGAACTTGCCAGTCATATGAATCATTTTCTCCCTCAGAGGTCTCTTTGAAACTAACAACAAGAGGATCCACAGCTTCCTATTTCCTGTAGAGGTTTCTGCTTCCAAGCTGTCCATCAGCCTCCCAGCATGTCACATACAATTTTCCCAGTGTTGGAATGACCCCAAAGTTGGGAAAATAGATTTGTATCACTGTGTCTACACTCTGCAGATATACTGCAAAAGATTTAACAACAGGAGTAATTTTATGTGACACCTCAAGTCTCTGCTTTGTAGTAAAGACAGAAAAATAAACATACAAACCTCTTCCAACAATTCATCCCACATTTTTCACAGTCTCCATTCCAAATCCACTTCATGAGCTGAACAGGCACAAGCCATCAACATATTCCATTATCCTACAACCTGGAGGCAGGTTCCCTCTGAGTTGTATGGTATAGACTATGTACATAATGGTACTTACCACATTTGCCAGGTGGATTCTTCTGCGTGGTACACTTATTTCATCTAGGGCACCGTATCTGAAGTGAAGCACTCTTTCTGTACCAGGGCTCATGGCTTCAGGGAAATTCCAACATATTTTAATTTTTCGTCCAGGATGTCTGGGAGTACTTTACTGGATGCTGTCTCATGTCCGGAAGGCAGCTGTGGTCCCCCTGTCTTTTATGACAGCGTTAATGATCTCCCCATTATGTGTGCATGAGTTCCTTTTGCAGAGGCCAAACTGTGATCCCGGGATCTTTTGATGGTGCTCCAACCACCACAGGAGTCAAATGCTGACCAGTCTTTCTAACAGCTTATAGAGACACCAGTCAAGTGAGACTGGTCTGAGGTTCACGCTGCCCACTTTCTTTATGAAGAAAAGCCCATACGATTCTCTCTTGGTACAGTTGGTTGAACAGCTCTATTAACGTTATACCGCAGCCTTCTAGGTGGGGGATAATTTTGTAATCTACATCTACAGTACCTGTTCCCGGGCTGGAGATGACCTTGAGAATGGCTATTGCGCAGTCCTGTGCGTCCTGTGGGTCCTGGGTTCTTGCGAAAAACGATCATTCCTTCACGTATCTTCACCTTCCTCTAATGGTCCTCTAATCTCTCTAATCGCTTATATAGCGGAGCGCTGGGCGCTCAGGGACCACTTGGGGCACACGTTCCTACCGTTCCTACCTACGTTGATAATCACCTGTACATATTCATTGGCTTCATTGGTTCATTAGTATCGTTGCAATAGTTCCACTGGTTCCGCAACGCTTTGGCTACCTGCGGCATCTTTCATGAAGATTTGGAATTATTTGCTTGAATGTAACACTACAGAATTCAGATGTCGCGCACCCATGTGATTAATCAGTGTCTCTCCCATACGTTGTGCACCAATTGGTCAGTTATCCATCTAGTCGTTGGTTTGTTATGATCGTTATCGATCGTTATGATGATTGCCATGATTATCTTTGTAATTTATACTGGATGGGTTTTCTAATAGTGGATCCGAGATTCGTGTTTGTGGTTATTTTATTTTGTTTCTTAGTGTGATTTTGTTCTTGTATTGGTCAAGTTTCGCGCAGGGTCGAGTTGAATGAAATAATGACATTTTATTTTTACTATTCAAAGTCGTCAAGAATACTGACATAAAGCGTGAAGATACATGACTCCCAGACATCTGTTAAATACGGCGTCGTATGACTGCAGAGATGACTGCGTAAAATACGTGAAAGTGCTTGAAATTTTAAACTAATAAGTTTTACAAGGCTGTAAGTGTAAATGGATAAGTGTACCTTAATATAAGAAACGTAAAAAGCCGAATGAAGAATATAATCAACACGTCCTACGACAAGAGAACAGCAGTAAATCATTGCACTATATACAGATCAGTGAAGTTTGAAATAAACAATATATAGGTACCCAACCCACAATGCTGTTAAAACAGAAAATAAAATGTTAAGAGAATGTAACATTTGATGAGATCAGACTTGATTTTACGAGTACATGGAAATTTGTATGTAGTTGAAACTACCAGTTCTAATGCACACACATTTGTTGTTATTTCAAAATTATTAGATATTTTCACGTGTATTAGTGACAATAGATGGGGTTTGGATTGGTGAGTAGATTTATTAACACATACAATCAACTCGTATTTATAAACAATATGGCACTCTCACTGATGTAAACAGTCTGTATAGTGACTGGCTATGAGCTGGACAACAGGTGTTGGAGTTTGAGTCCTGGTAATGTCAAGAATTTTCTCTTCCCATTGTCCAGACCAGCTCTGGTCCCACCCAGCCTACTATCCAAAGGGTACTGGGAGATCTTTTCCCCGGGGGTAAAGCAGCTGGGTCATGAAGCTGACCACTCACTACCACCTAGTACCAAGTTCAAGAAAATTTGGGCCTATAGATCCATTTCCACATATGCCTTCATTGCGTAGTTAAGAACAGGGACAACTTTATAAAGTCAACAGTGCAGAAGTAATTAAAATATAAAAGTAAATGTACAAACTATACAATTTAACACAACTGAGTTAGAAACCAGCATTTGTTAAATTTGATTTGTTTCATTCTGGTCTGTCACACTAACAATTATAAATACAAACCACTTCGTCCAGTATGATATATAAGTTTTTAGTACATGAAAACTTATCTCCCTTACATGTTTCGGTCTGTACAGACCATCTTCAGAGGGAACATCATTTTGAACTGGAAACTACCATCACAATAGGTGTTTTGATTTAAAATACATACACTTATATTCTATAATGCACAGTACGCATAAAGTCGAACAATTCACAATCACAGCAGCTTCCTGGTATTGTAAATTTTTTAAAGTTTTTAAAGTTTCTAGATGTTAATTTAAAAAACCTTTGTCACTAGTTAAATTTCTTTAAACCATATAGGTTCGTGCCCATACTCCTATCGTCCTTCTTGTATGGGGCAGATTTTATGCCGCCTGTCTATCTTGATGAGGAGGTTCTTGATGTCATCCAGGGTTACAACACAGCAAGCCACGAGGTAACCCTGGACAACATCAAGAACCTCCTCATGAAGGTAGACAGGCGGCACAAAATCTGCCCCATACAAGAAGGACGATAGGAATATGGACACGAACCTACGTGGTTTAAAAAATTTTAACTAGTGACAAAGGTTTTTTAAATTAACATATAGAAACTTTAAAAACTTTAAAAAATGTACAATACCAGGAAGCTGCTGTGATTGTGAATTGTTCGACTTTATGCGTACTGTGCATTATAGAATATAAGTGTATGTATTTTAAATCAAAACACCTATTGTGATGGTAGTTTCCAGTTCAAAATGATGTTCCCTCTGAAGATGGTCCGTACGGACCGAAACATGTAAGGGAGATAAGTTGTCATGCAGTAAAAACTTATATGTCACACTGGACGGAGTGGTTTGTATTTATTACAGTATTTGTTATATTGTTATTCAGACATGCCTCTGCAGAGTACTAAAAGCATGTTGTAAAAATTCATTTCAAGTTTCTTCAGAAGCAGAGATTATATCCGGTGTGTTATATAGCAGAAAATCATAAGATTTTCATCATGCAGTATTGGCTTACAATTGTACGGATCACAGTTGTGACCATACAGATGCAAATGTCATCCATGCAGTTATTTGTTATTAAACTGCATTCTTTTACATGACAGTATGTCGAATGGCCTTTTCTGTAATGCAGATAGCTATTTGAATTACATTTTTTTTCACAGTGTCAAAAAGCTTATCAGTGAAAAAAAATATAAAAGTATAGAAATTAATTTGACTGTATAGAATTATTACAGGGTAACAAAGAAACTTGCCGGTCACGGTAGCCGAGTGGTCTAAGGCATGTACTGTTTTCGCTCGCTTGGAAACCAGGATCGTGGGTTCGAATCCAATTCAGGGCATAGAGGTTTAGTTTGTGTGTGTGTGTGTGTGTTTTTCTGTGTTTGTGTACAGGTAGAGGCCTTGTGATGAGCTGATCACCCGCCCAAGGAGTCCTACCGAATGTGTAAGATCTGGAAAAACCCAAGTGTACGGAGAAGTTCATGGAGGTAGGCCTAGGCCCACTGGGGCTGTAGTGCCAAGGAAAAAAAGAACAACTTATTCTGCAATTATAAGTAACAGGCCTACTTGAGGTATAATTACCCAAGTGCAAGCATAAAATGTTTTGTGTTAGGGAAAATGGTTCCATAATTTCATGTTTAAAACTCAAGAGTAAGATGGAGAAATGAGTGGAAAGGCACTGCAAATTATATGTATAAACTCTCAGTAAGCTTCACTTTGTGTCTGTACCAAAATGAAATTTACTGAGAATTTATACACGACATTAGATAAAGGTAAATAAAAAGTTGTTCAGATTAGGAAGAAAAACTTGGGAAATATTGTTATTTTGCTGTTGCATCCATCATTTTGAGGTACATTTTTCCATTGTAACTGGTAGGAGCTCTACCTGAAGCTAGTAAGGAGGCTGGTCTGGAATTGAACACAGAGAAAACTAAGTATATGTTGATATGACCATACTGCAGGGCAGAATCATAACATGAAGATCCTTTGACAGTGTGGCAAAGTACAGATATCCTCATACTGCCATTCAGAGTATTCACATGTGTGCTAAATGGGATAGTAAAACAGACAAAGAGCAAGAAGGAAAGTCAAAGAAACTACCATGCCATGAAGACACATGAGGGAGTGGTGGTATAGCTCCACCATTTTTGACCTTCACTCTAGATGGAGGTGAGTGGTCAGTTTCATGCCCAAGCCATTTTACTGCCAGAAAAGGAGACCCTAGTACCCCATTGTATTGTAGGCTAGGTGGGCCCCAGAGCCAGCGTGGATGCTGCAGATGCAGAGAAATCTCTTGCCCCTCCCAGGAATTGAACCCCAGCCATCCAGCCTATAGTCTATCACTATATTGACTGAGCTGGCTTATGTAACCAAAAGGTAATAAACATTCCTTCCTGCTTTCATATATCCAATGCCTGAACCAGCCTACCCATCTTCATTTAAAGGTCATGTGTGATGTAAAATTGCTTCATTATTTGGCTTATTGAGATGTCTGTTTTAGCCCCCAGTATGGCTCCTAGTGACCCCACACAGAGAGAAAGCTCCTGCTGCCATAGAAGTATCATACAGTTTGGTGAAATTAAAAGTGAACTGAAAAACATCAGACAGACAGTTGAAGTTGCTGTTCAACTACTAAGTGTGAGTAGATGGAATTTATTTGAGAAGTTAATTTGGTGTAAAAATGTATTTATCCTTGTGAAATTTTGACATTCAGTTTCACATCTTGCTAAAGTTCAGAATTTAATTTGTCAGCTGCTCGTAATTGATCATTGGTTCCATCACATCATTTTGGTAGTGGAACCAATAATAAGTTGTTCACACACAGTAAAAGTAAATGTATCCCTATAACAGGCCATAGAGGCCCATAGGATTGTGAGATGTTGAGGTTCCCACATTTTGTAGACAATCGGCCCATAGATGGCAAGGTTGTCAGCCTTAAGTGCTGGCCACTCTTTACTCCCCAGGAAAATTATTTAATTAATTCCTGGTACTCATTTCTGTTAGAGGCTGGGTCGACCCCAGGGCCACAGGTTCACACACACAGTATGATGCTGAAATACAGTATTCCTAATGTCATTTGTATATTGATATACAGTGTAATTTATATTTGAATAGTAACTAGGATATGATTTGAAATTTCTGTGCAAGTACATGGATTAAATTCAGACCTTGACTACAGTGTAATATCTGGTATTTAATTAAGAATTTGTCATTGTAATACATTGCAGTGCATGACCATGAAAATGATGAATAATTTAAATAAAATATTCCTGTTTCTTCTAAATTGTGAGAAATTAACATGTTCTGGTTTAAAATAATGGTACCCTCAGAATAATTTTGTTAGTAGCTGCATATTGAGCAATCAAGTCCTGTACTAGTATGAGGTTACTGTTTGAGACTTGGCTACCATCTGCAGAGTCTGTTCTGATGCCCAGCTATTATTTGGAACCAACTAATGGTTACAAATTCTTCAAATCCCAACCACTATTTTAGCATCCATTTTAATTTCAAGATTTTTTGGAGTATGGAAAAATAAATTGACAGATTGTCAACATTTTTCTAAGATTTTGACTTAGAAATTCATTATATTTATGGTTAGTTATAAAACTTGTGTCCATTTTTGGAGCAGGAGTAAAACATTGGTTATAATTTAATAACATTTACTCAGTGTTAGGCACATTACTGTAGTTTACATAAATTAACTGCTTACGAGTATGGTTCTGTTTATGCAATACCTTGAATGTCATTAGAAGTCGTACCAATTGTTTTATTAGCCAGAGAGTGGTAGTCCAATGGTAGGGGTGCTACCTACCTTTGGATAGGCCCTGCGTGCCACATTTGCTTCAGCACTGATGTAACTCAGACGTCAGTGTCTCTTAAAATGTCAACCAAAAGGAAAAAGAAGTTTAGGCCTTTGAAACTATGGAAGGATCCTGTTTTGTAATGTCCATCATAAAAGATTTCAGTATGCCTATTACTGTAAGGATGGTGATGAGCTAATTATGATTTCAGAAATTGGTTGGCTTGACACCAAATGACATTCAGGCATTGGCTTGTAGCAGTGAAATTGGTACCTGTACTTCAGCATCAGTCTTGGATGGCCGTTCTGTTGTCAGCAGAGCATCTGACAATGTATTCAGAAGAGATACAGCCAAAGAATCAATGAATATATCCTTAAGTCAGACTGCAGTCATGAAAGGTGTTTCTGCAAAAGTGAAAACTATGGCAGAAACTAAGAATGGTGAAACAACCAGTGAAACTGAGATCAGCAAAATAAATGTTGAAGCGAATGAAGAAACTGGAATTCAAGCCGAAAGTTTTAAATCAGCAGTTGAAATGGAGAGTAATGAGACAGTTGAAGTGAAGAATGATAAAAATGTGGTAGAAACTAGGAATGGTAAAGATTCTAGTAAAGTGAAGTGTGACAAATTCCCACAGGTTACTTCCACCATCTCTTTCCCTTCTCTGTCAGAACAGTTAACTACATTTTTAAAGGCATCTCCTCCAACCACATCACTGTCAGAAAATGCAACTGTTAACAATGCCGAAGGCTGTGCCACAGTCTCAGAACATTCAACCACATCTGAATGCCGAGCTGTATATGCTGATTCTGACATCTCAGTAAGTGCTGTACAGGAAGAACCCAGACATAAACAGACTGATACTATGCAAGGGTCAAGTTTGTGTGATGTGACTTCATCAGACAAGTTGCCTCCAGTTTATGACTTTGGTACATCAACATCACAGGATGTTTGTATGAGTTCGGTAGTTGTGAAGACTGTGATGAGAGACCTTGAAGTGGGCCTGAGCAGTGTGAAAGTGAAACAGGAGAAACCACTGGGATATGATGATACTGATTTGAGTGCTTTTTCCATCAGTGTTGAAGACAGGTTACAGGAACCTGAGGAAGTGAAAATGGAACCAGAGGTAATGCCATAAGTATCACTGTATAATCACTTGAAACATAACTGAGCTTATATCCAAATGAATGCTTTTATTTTTCTAAAGGAAGTAAAATTGTAGGGTTAGTTAATTTTATGACTGGGCATTTAATTAACACATTGATTACCAGACTTTTAAAATATGCTTCTGTTTAAAGCTTAGATTTTTTTGGTGATGCAGTCATTCGCAGTCATACTCACATTCTAATGAAAACTGCACTAAATTGACTTATGTTGATGGTGACAGTATTGAAGCATGTCTGATAAAATGCCTTAAGTCAGTTTTGATAGAGAATGTGTGAGAATACTTCCAAACCTGACAGACATTAATATTTTATAACATTTGTTATCAGTGACTCCTTTTCATAATTTCTTAATTTTATTTTATGGTAAGGAATGATGTAATATTGCATCCATTGGCCATTTGAAGGGCAAAGTTATAAATGTTGGGTTTTGTGTCATAGAGTGGGAAAGTACACACATGGACTTGCATTGTATGTAAGTGGGTGTTTGTCATTCCAGGGATTGTTTATAAGTGATTCTTTGCTGCCTGTGTGTGTCTTACTGAAAAAGGAAGATGGATTTTGCACCAGTAATACTCAGGAAAACAGGACTGTATCTGATGCTGGTAGTAATAGCACAGAACAGTTCAGTGGAGAGTAAGTGAATGTCATCAGATTGAGATATTATCATAACACCATCTTCTTGTGTGAATTTGGGTGATTTCAGTGTATTTTTATATGCAGATTATGAACATGTTACCAGAAATGTTGTGTAACCCACAGTTTTCTTTGGAAAACTATATGATGTCTTTGAAAATATGAAATGTGTAACATGTCACAAAGATTCACCTTGGAGAGTGACAGGCATGCAACTTTGGTTAATGTACAGTAGCACTCAAAAGTTCTAGTCCATTTGGTGTTTTGACTGTAACCTTTGTTTGAAATTTTCATTTGGTACCAAGAGTAGACTAAGCACATAAGGCAATGTGCTGCAGTTTTTGTAATATTTTTGCTCTTCAGATATGACTTCAAGGAGAAACAGGCAGATAAATATAAAATTGATGTGCTCAGAAGTCTTCGTCCATTTTGTTTTTCAATAATAAATATTTATTTCAGACATCCCATAAAAACAACTGAAGGAAATTAATAAATAATACTTGGTTGGGAAGCTCAGTTTCATGAGAATTCTGAGGGGAATCTTCCATTCATTGCACAAGGTATTGAAGAATTTTTTATTGATGTATGGCTTGCTGCCTTCAGCACGTGTTCTGTTCTCTTCCCATAGGTATTTGATCAGATTGAGGTCAAGGCATTCATTCATTTCCTTTATTTTCCATATCTCCATACAGGCAACAAACCTAGGATGTGGAAATGGTCCCTTTGAAAATAGATATATCAAGATACATACACAAAATTACATGAGTCACATAATCAAAATCACAATAATCGATTAACATAAATAATAATATAAAGTAAAACTGTTAATAAGATTTTAATTAATAAACATAATTTAAAAACAACTTACTATAAAACTTGAATTAATACAGTTTTATTTAAATTACCTATATTAACACTTCACGGACCGGTGATTTAAATATTTAAACCACCCTGGGGACTGGCATTTTTAAACATACTACCCTAACTTGTGCACTGTTCACTTTAAAAATTAATATAAAATCTCCTAATTAATTTTTTGAACTAAAATTTTTGGAGAACACTTACCAATGCTCCTAGAAGTGCTTGAGGGTGTGATATTTCTTGAAACTTTCCCCTTTGTGAAGTGGCATTACACAGAACTTGCAAATGTAGACATACTCCTTTTTTTGTGAACTGTGCAAACACGGCATTGCCTAGAAGTATTCTTCCCCTTGGAATGTTCGCTCTTCACAATTTTCACGAGGGTATTTTACCACATATCACTCAAGAGTCGCCCTGGGGGGTCCACATGAGGCCTTCTTGGGGTGGGAGTGTGCCGTCGCAGGTTTCGTGTCCACTTGGCAGGCTGTCGTCTCTTCAAGCCAGGCATTGAAGTCGGCGTCTAATTTCGCCAGCATGCTATTTGTTTTTTCTTGATTGAATTCTAACTTCGCCAGAAAATCTTCTCTGTCTTTTCTTCTATTTGCTTCCATCTCTTCCTTCTCTTTCCTCCTACATTCCTCCATCTCTTCCTTTTCTTTCCTCCTACATTCCTCCATCTCTTCCTTTTCTTTCCTCCTACGTGCCTCCATCTCTTCCTTTTCTTTCCTCCTACATTCCTCCATATCGGCTTTCTGTCTGGCCGCCATTTGCTCCAGACGTTCCATAACTTTTTCCATGTCCATGTTGTAGCAGTAAAACACTCGATGCACCAATTTATCACGTGTTTTGAGTACGAATCTCGTTGATCACGTGTG